TCCACCCACCTCAGCCTTCCAAAGTGCTGGGATTCCAGGCGTGAGCCACCGCACCCAGCCAGTTCTGTGATTTTACACACACATCCAAGATTGCTGTGTTTCTAGTGGATTGACCTTTTAAACATTATATATAATGCCCCTCTTTGATAATTTTCTTTCCTCTAAAATCTACTTTATCTAATATTAACATAGCCATTCCTGCTTTCATCTATTAATGTTTGCATGATGTATCTTCTTCCATTCTATTACTTTCAGCCTGCCTCCATTGTCATATTTGAAATGAGTTTCTTGTGACTGCATATTGTTGGGTAATGTTTTAAATTCATTTTATTAATCTGTCTTTAACTGTTGTATTTAGATCATTTACATTCAGTGTAATTGTTGATGTCTTAGGACTTAAATCTGTCATTAAAAAAAATGTTTATTCTTTGTTTTTTGTTTGTTTTCTCTTTCCTGCCTTCCTGTGGGTAATGTGAACATTTTTCAACAATTCCATTTTGATTTATTTAGTGTTTTTTAGTATATCTCTTTGAACAGCTTTTTCAGTGGTTGCTGTATTATACTACATATGCATAACTTATCACAGTCTATTGGCTAACTTAGTAATCTGAGTGAAGTACAAAGCCTACCTCTCTTTATGTCCTTTTACCTTCTCACATTTATAATGGTCTTAAATATGTCTTTTACATGCATTTGGAACCACATCAATATTATAATTTTTGCTTCAACCATCAAATATGATTTAGAAAAATTTATATTTACCTGTATTTTATATCTACCTGTATTTTTGTTTACCATATTCTTTCTTTCCTGATATTCCTTCTTTTATCATTTTCTATCTGTTTAGCTAAATTCCGTTAGTCATTCTTTTAGAGTAAGTCTTCTGGTGAAAAATTCTCTTAGTTTTCTTTTATCTGAACATTTCTTGACTTCTCCCTTATTTTCACTGGGTATAGGATTCTAGGTTGACAATTTCTTCCAATAATTAAAAATATTGTGCTACATCTGGCCTTTGTGGGTTTTGATGAGAAATCCACTATCATTCTAATTGTTTTTCCTCTGTAGGAAAAACAATTTTTTTTCATTTTCAGAAGTTAAATTTGGGGGGATGGGCATGGTGGCTCATGCCTGTAATCCCAGCACTTTGGGAGGCTGAGGCAGTCAGATCACTTGAGGTCAGGAGTTCAAGACCAACCTGGCCAACATGGCGAAATCTCATCTCTACTAAAATACAAAAATTAGCCAGGTATGGTGGTGGGCACTTGTAATCCCAGCTACTCGGAAGGCTGAGGCACTAGAATCACTTGAACCCGGGAGGCAGAGGTTTCAGTGAGCTGAGATTGTTTCACTGTACTGCAGCCTGGGTAACAGAGCAAGACTTTGTCTCAAAAAAAAAAAAAAAAAAAAAAAAGTAAAATTTTGGGCTATCTTGGCATGAATTTCTTTGGGTGTATCCTATTAGTGGTCTGCTCAGCTTTTTGATCTGTAGGTTTATGTCTCCTGTCAAATTTGGCAACCTTTCAGACATTATTTCTTTGATTTCCTTTTCAGCCCTGTATTCATTCTCCTGTCCTTCTGAAACTATGATATGTGAATATTAGATCTTGTCTTACAGTCTTACAGGTCCCTGAGGCTCTATTCATTTTATTTTAAGCCTATTTTTTCTCTTAGGTTTGGTTGGGTAATTTCTGTTTTTCTCTTTCTCAATTCACTGACTCTTTCCTCTATTTGCACAATTATACTGTTGTGCTCAGCCATTAAGCTTTTACAATTTCAGTTGTATTTTTCAATTCAAAAATTTCTATTTGGTTCTTCTTAATATTTTTTTTTCTCTCTCTGCTGAGGCTTTCTATTTTTTTTTATTTCTTCTAAGTGTTTATAAGTGTTTTTTGAAGCATTTTAATTATGATTGCTTTAAAAATCTTTGTCAAAAAATTCTAACATCACTAACATCTCAGTGTTTGTGTCTACTAATTGTCTTTTTTCAGTTTTAGATCTTCCTGGTTATTGGTACAACAATTTGCTTCTGATTAAAACATGGGCACTTTCGTATTATGTTATGAGACTCTGGATCTTATGTAAACCCTCTGTTTTAGCTGGCTTTTTGTTACTTTGCTCCAGCACAGGGAATGGGGAGATAAGACCTCATTACTGCAAGATGGAAGTGGAAGTCCAGGTTCCCCATCTGGACTCCATTGACACCAGAGATGGGAGGCTTCTAATCATTATTGGACAGATGTGGAGGTTCATCTCCATATGTAGCCTCCATTGAGACTGTGGTGGGGTCTAGATGACAATCAGGACATGGCTTGATTTTTAGTCATTACTTTCATAAGAGGTTCCTTATATATTAATACTTTGAATCTAGAAATGCACTCAATGAGGATGGGCCTGAGCATGAAGGTACAGACAAATAGTGAGGCATTAACTAACACCTCTTTGGTTACAAGTAACAGAAACCAATTCAAGCTAGCTTAATTTGCAAAAGCATAAGGTAGGGTAGGGGAAGAATTATAAGAAAGTACGAAGCTACTCATGGAAACAAAGGGAGAGGGAATTCAGTCAGGCTTCAGGAAAGGACTAGAACTAGAAAATGGAAAACTTCCAAGGCTTTTTATTCATCTGCAGTCTCTGCTTTTCTCTCTCCACAGGAAAGTTTTTACTTCCCTTAGCTCAAATTTGCATCCTACAGCAGTTTCATGTACAAGACTGATCCACTATCTCTCATTCCAATTCCAAAGCATAGGGAAAGATAATCTGAGTGGCAACCATGCCAGTGGGTAGAGGTCACATAATTACAAACGCAACTTTTGGAAGTGCTACCCTTATGTAGACACCCCCAAAAGTATCTGATATAGGTGTATATGGAAATATTAACAAGTAGGAAAGCCGCAAGCAAGGCCTTTCTTAACAGATGATCTCACTACAAACTTAAACATTGTCAGGTTGATTTTTATTGTTGTTGTTATTCTTACAACTTAGTTCTTTATGGCTGCCTTTTCTGTTTTATATATCGTTTGTTTGACTGTCTCAACACTCTTGCATACTATTACTTATAGTAAGTGATTGCAGGGTAAAATGAGAATAAGCAAAGAATGAGAAGATCACACTTTGCTAAACCATCTTAGACATTGGTCTAAGTTAGGATTAAGGAGAAACTAGTTAATGTGCTGTACGAGTTTGCTGAATTATCATGTTGAACATGATATAACATCTGAATGTAATCATAGGGCTGAAACTTCATTGTCTGTTCTGTTCTTAAGCCAAAATGAATAGGGTCTAGGTGGATTAATAGGTGGATTGCACGTTAACGAGATGATTTACATACCTTAAATTTCTCTCTGGTCAAACATGGGTCAGATTTCAAATATGAAGGAATAAATCTCATGCTTGGCATTCCATTTGGTAATGATGAAAATTCTTGAGAAAGATTATGCAAATCAAAATATAATTGGAGAGATTTTTCACTTCCAGGAGGATGAAGTAGATGCATTTTCCCTATTCTTTGCACTAAAAATAACTACAAACCCATATAAAATGAACAAAAGGCAACTCCAAAAGGTAGAAAGCAGGCAGGCTAGCTAGGGACTTCAAGAACCAAGGAACAACACAATGGTGTCTCCTGGGTTTTCTTTTTGCCTCATATATCCAAGACTTGGAGCTGAAGAAGCTAGCAACCTGAGAACACAAAAGTGCCCAGAAACATGCACAAAAACCTCTCAACAATAGCCTGTATTATGTAGAAAAGGACCAGGAAAGGGACAGCCTACTGATACAGAAAATGTTAGGCAATAACCACTGTACTCCAGCCAAGTGCCACTGATAAACAGTGCCCTCACTCCCACCCATGTAAGCAGAGGCTGAGGGGCTTACGCTTCCACTCTTATGAGGTATAATGAGGGATCTCAAACTTCTGCAAGGGTGGTGTCAAAGAAGGACAAGTAGAAGCCAGAACTTTGACTCTCCCATTGGCCTATAAAGAGTCTCTCTCCTCCCGCAGGGTGTCATTGGAAACCAAATGGGGAGCCGAGATTTCCACACTCAATGGACAGAAATGAAGTACCTCTTTCTCTCCCCATTGGGCTGGTGTCAGAGGATGCCTAGTGAAGAGTCAGGGTTTTCACTAATGCACAGTAGCAATGCTTCATAGCCTTCACCCATTTTCTTATGAAAGTATTTGTAAGTTTCCAGTTGATATGTAAGCACTCTTTGTATATTAAGTATATTGGTCATGTTTTTCACTTTATAAAGAGAAATGGCAACGCATAATGATAAAGTTCAGGAGGACTCTGGAATCAGAAGGTCTAGGTGGATTTGACTCCAGATTCCACTATGTATTGGCTTGTGAGGCTTTGGACAAATTATTTAACCTCTTAGGACCTCAATTTTCTCATGTGTAAAATGTAAAGTGTATACATGTATAACTTAGAACAGTGTGTAGCACATAGGAAGTACATTACAAAAATCTGTTGATAATATTACTATTGTATTTATTATTTTCAGCTTGTTACTGTCTTTACTTTTATTTACACATGTTTTCTTTTGGCCTTAGAGGTGGTTCTATTTTTTATCTTTAGAAGAAAACTGGGCTCACTCTTTCTGCTTTCATCTGAGTATCAATAAACTGAAGTAGCTCAGGTTAATTATTTTTAATCCTGGTTACCCCATAGGATTAGAAAGTTACCCCATAGGATTTAGAACAGCTGACAATATTCAAGTCAGGCTATAATCATACTTTATTTATGCATACTTTATTAATAGATCTAAATTAATGAGTAGTTTCATGCAAATAATCAATTAAATAAGGCCTGATAACTTACTCCTTCACTTATCCAGTGTTTTCTGACAGCTTTGGGTCTTTGTTCTTTGCCAAATGTGATGCAGCTGACATCATTTTCAAGAGCAGATTTTTTTCTTAGGATAATAAATTAATAAGCCCTGCTTCCTTTAAAAAGATTATTAAATAGCTAAGATATTTGATAAAAACTGTATTGACTTACTGATGTTGGATTGGGAAGTTGGTTCTTGGATTGAATAGCTGTTTTATCTGAGTGGTTTGCATGTTTTTAGGGTTATGCATGATGGGGAGCAAATACTGCAATATTTCTTGAGTTTGAACTATTCCTTTATCCTTGTAGCTCCTTTTTTCATCATCTGTCCAATTTATGCCAGTCTTCTTGCTTTGGAAAGATATGCATTCTTTTATTTTGCTTTTTAAGTTGTGGTGCAGATCTGGGGAGCAACCACAAAAATATGTACAGGGATATAAACTCTACTCACAATTACTTATTGGGCATTATTATATGCCAGGGATTTTATCTAAAATTCCTTGCCCATCTGAAGCTTGTACTTTAATGACAGTGGGCAGAAAATAAACAAGTAAAATATATATTATGTTAGATAATGATAAAGTTTACAGGATAAAGTAAAGCTGCAGAGGGGAGTAGAGAATTCTTGAGGGGTTGATTTCCACTTTTAAAAAGGTGTTAAGAGAAAGCCTCCTTATGAAGCTGACATCTCATGGAATTTAGGAAGCAAATCAAGCAGGTTTCAGAGGAAAGATAATTTGAGGCAAAGGCCCTGAAGTAGGAGAATAGTAGTATGTTCAAGAACACCAAGAATGCAGTCAGTGGCTGGAGGAGAATGAACAAAAGGGAAAGTTATAAGGGATAAGTTCAGGTAGGTAACATGGACTCAGCTCATGTAGGGCCTCACAGGCCAGTAGAAGGACTTTGATTTTTACTGAGTGTGAGATGGAGAAGCATTGGAAGGCATTGAGCAGAGGAGTGTCAGTCTGAGATTTGTTTGGACAAGATTATGCTGGTTGCCAAGTTGAGAACAGATTGAAGAGAGGCAAGAGTGAACAAACAGGGAGATCTCTTGGAAGGCTGCAGAAACAATCCAGGAGAGATGGTGGTAGCTTGGACCAGGGTCGTGGAAATGGCTAGAAGGGTGAGAAGTGGGGTGGGAGTATTCTGGGTACATATGTGGATTTTATAAAGAATTGGATATGAGATAAGAGAATAAGAGTGGAATCAGTGGTGGCTCCAAAGCTTCTAGTTTGAGGAAATGGCAATATAGGGATATGGGGACTGGGAAGAGCATGTTAGAAATCCCTTTTTTATTAGATGATACAAAGGAATTATTGTTTTGTTAATGGAGACACTGGAATATAATAACATTTTTAAAAATGTTTATCCTACCCCATATTAGTTAGGATGGCTTCTATAAAAAAACAAACAAACAAACAAAAACCTCCAGAAAATAACAAGTGTTGGCAATGATTTAGAAAAATTGGAACCTTCACACATTATTAATAAGAATGTAAAATGGTACAACCATTGTGGAAAACAATATGATGGTTCCTCAATAATTAAAAATAGGATTACTATATGACCCAGCAATTCCACTTCTGGCTATATCCCCAAAAGAATTGAAAGCAGGGTCCCAAAGAGACATAGATACATTCATCTTTATAGTAGCAATATTCATAATAGCCAAACGTTGTAAGCAACACATGTGTTCATTCATGAATGGATTAATAAAATGAGGTATATTCATACAATGGAATGTTATTTAGTGTTAAAAAGGAAGGAAATACTGACAAATGCTACAGTATTGGTAAACCTTGAGACTACTATACAAAATAAAATAAGACAAATATCATATCTGTCATTCAAATATTTGACTCCACTACCTAATTTGACTAGAATATTCCATTGACTAGAATTCTATTTGACTAGAACAGTCAAATTCATAGATACAAAAGTAGAAGGATGGTTGCCAGGTGCTGGGGCGGGGGAGGGGGAAGTGAGGAAGACTAGGCATAAAGTTTCAATTTTAAAAGAGAAAAAGGAGTTCTGGAGATTGCATCACAATGTGACTGTACTTAACACTACTGAATTGTACACTTAAAAATAGTTAAAATGGTAAATTTTGTTATGTGTATTTTATCACAATTTAGAGTCAACATACTTGGTAAGCGAGGGTAACCCTGAGTAAAGCCTGAAGGAAGATCAGTAGTCAGACATTTAAAAAAAGTCATAATTTATAATTGCCATGCTTAAATTGGTCCATAGACAGCATAAGAGAAAGTAGAATACATTCAGAATAAAAGCAAGAAATACACTGTGCTTTGTTAGTGTTTATCTAGTGATATACACTAAACTGTTTATAGGCAAAATAATATAATTTATAGAATTTATTTTAAAATGCTCTAGGGAAAAAGTGGTGGGAAAACAGATGAAACAAGAGTAGCAGGATGCTGATGAGGATGGGTGATGGGCATCAGTGGACTCATTATTCTATTCTTTCTACTTTATGTTTGAACATTTCTACAATAAGTTTTTGGTAAAAAAATTATTCTTAAAAGGAAAATAAAAAGATAAAGCATGCATTGCATTAAGCTAGATCTGAAAGATAATGTATGATTACAATATCTGGCAATACTGGCATATGAAATGAACTTATTTACAGTTTCTTGATAAGCCATTCTTAGGCCACTCAATAAACATTCACTGAATGTAGGCCAGGTGTTGTAGCTTATGCTTGTAATCTCAGCACTTTAGGAGGCTGAGGCAGATGGATCACTTGAGGTCAGGAGTTTGAGACTAGCCTGACCAACAGGGTGAAACCCTGTCTCTACTAAAAATACCAAAATTAAGTGGGCATGGTGGTGAGTGCTATAATTCCAGCTACTCAGGAGGCTGAGGCAGACAAATTGCTTGAACCCAGGAGGCGGAAGTTGCAGTGAGCCAAGATCGCATCACTGCACTCCAGCCTGTGTGACAGAGCAATACTCCATCTCAAAAAATAAATAAATAAATAAATAAATAAATAAATAAACAAACAAACATTCACTGAATGCTTATTGTATATCTGGCACTATTTTTGTTTGGTAAATAGATGTGAAAAACACAGTTCCTGCCTTCAATATGTTAAGAATCAGGACTAGAGAGCAAAAAGTGAACTATCTATTAGAATATACTTCATAGAGATAAACCAGGACACTTACTACATACATATACTTATAGCCATACTTATAGATGGGGGCAAAGGGTATTGGGTAAATGAATGAACACAAGTCAGCCAAGTAAAAAAGAAGGAGAGTGATCTAGGATGTGGGACTAACATGGCACATTCAGGAAATCATAAGTGTGGTATAGAATAATTGGGATATCAGGTAGGTATGAAGACATGGTTCAAAACTGGAAGCCTTGTTTGCAGTAACACTTTTGAGAGATCCTCTAAGATGGGAATAATTCATGACTGATAACGCTAAATAACTGTGTTTTGAATGATACAGTTAGGGGGCCATTGAAGACTTTACGCAAGATAATCAGATTTGCAGTTTTGAAAGATCACACTGGGACCCAGGAAAACAAAAGGTGGAAGAAAAGTGAAACACAAGGCAGGGAGACAAATTAGGAGGCTAATGCAGTTCTTCAAGGGAGGCAAAATGAGGGTCTGAATTAGCGGTAGCATTAGGATGAAGAGAGCAGATTCAAGAGAATTTTTAGAGGTAGAACGGATAGAGCTTCATGTTATTAGAGACCAAAAAACAGAAGTTCACAACATTAGGATAAGTCTTGGGTTTATTACTTAGATAACTGGATGATGGCAGTACACTGACTGAGACATGGGATGCAGGAGAAAGAGATTGGCAGTGGACAAGTTGAAGATAAGTGCCTGTGGGGAAAAACAGATGGAGATATCCAGTAGGCAGAGGAATATGAAATTTAGGAGAGGCTTAGACTGAAGATTAAAAAATATCATGGTCATCAGTTGCTGGTTGAAGCTGCAGGTAGAGATGAGAGTGCTCAGAAATAAAGTATGTGGTGACAAAGACCAAAGGATGGACTACTGGAAAATAGCCTACTTAAAATTTAGGCAGAAGTGATGTCCTACATGGGCTCCTCTTCATATATTTCAACACATGTTTCATGAATGGCTAGAGAAACAGGAGTAAAACCAGGAGACAGTAGTGTCACAGATATGACACTCAGATTGTGAAATAGCTCAATGAATCAAGGGAGTTTAAAGGCCCTGGGAATAATCAACAGTAGAGAAGTCAGTATGGCTTTGTAAATAACCATTTCATGGTATGGCAACAGTAGAAACATTCTCAAGCACTAGGTTGAGAAGTATACAAGTGAGGAAGTGAAGGTAATGAATGTTGGCTATATTTGAGGAAGGTGAGAAAGAGGGCAATAATTAGAGTTATTTCACTAAGGAAATTGATGGACATGGGATCTAGAGCACTGCTGAATGAATTAACCCTAAACAGAGGGATATTTATTTCTGTGAAACAAGAAGGAAGGATGTTTGAAATGAGTTGATTTATTGATGACCTCTCTGGTTTTTGTTTCTGTTTTATATGTGAAGTAAGAAGTGAGGTTATCTACTGAAGGTAAAGTTTTATATGTGAAGTAAGAAGTTAGGTAGAGAGAGAGAGGAAAAGATTTAGAATAGTTACTCTGGAGAATGGAAGAGGTAGTTGATCAAGTTTATGTATATGTAAATTGTGCAAACAAGAATGTATAGTGCCATTTGGTAATGTAGTTTTTCTTCAGCAGGGCTCTGTAATCTAAGATGGGGTAGAGATGGATAGTTAGATTCATCTAGAATTACAGTTGTTCAGCATTGGCTTAGTCAAAGGATAAGAAGGCAAAACGAGATCTAATTAAACTTAAGAGCTTCTGCACAGCAAAAGAAACTATCAACAGAGTAAACAGGCAACCTACAGAGTGGGGAGAAAATATAGGAATCTGACAAAGGTCTAAATATCCAGCATCTATAAGGAACTTAAAGCAATTTACAAGAAAAAAACCAAACAACCCCATTAAAAAGTGGGCAAAGGACATGAACACTTTTCAAAAGAAGACATACATGTGGCCAACAAGCATATGAAATACAGCTCAATATCACTGATCATTAAAGAAATGTAAATCAAAACCACAATGAGATACATCTCACAGCAGTCAGAATGACTATTATTAAAAAGTCAAAAAATAACAGATGCTGGCAAAGTTACAGAAAAAAGGGAATCTTATACTCTGTTGGTGGGAGTGTAGATTAGTTCAACCATTATAGAAAGCAGTATGACAATTCCATAAGGAGCTAAAAACAGAATTACCACTCAGCCTGGTAATTCTATTACTGGGTGTATACCTAAAGCAATATAATTCATTTTATCATAAAAATACATGCATATGTATGTTCACTGCAACACT